TTGGGATACTACGTAAAATCTTGGATCATTTACTTAATCGGAATAATCTTATAAGGAAAAAAAAAAAACAAAAAGAATTGGAAATTTTGACGAATTGTTCAAATAAAATACCACCGATCGAAAAATCTGCGTCTTTTAAGGTGCAACGGGGAAAAGTAATCGGATCGTTTTTACAAACCGTGGTAAAATCGTTTATAAAACTATTTTACGGGCAAGTATATATATGTGTAGGATTTTTCTTTGTAATCGCAGGATCTCAAATCGCTCTGTATTTTACGAATATGTGTACCCGAATGTTATGGTTTCGAAGTACCGGGGGTTCTTATTTTCTTTTTAAGAATTACCACGATAAAAAATGTATCCCGCGCATAAATGTACCTAAATCGCGAGTGTGTGAGTGTGCGCGTGTGTGAGGAGAGAGAAAAAGACGGGGATAAAACGTTCTCGGACGGACATTGCGATTCCGGCGACGACGATCGAATTTATTATACTCCCTGTGAAATATATACGGGTACACGCACACGGACACACACGGCCCATCACCGTGCAGACTTATTGTATGAATATAATATCAGCTGGCTTTATGTGTGTGTGTGTGTGTGTGTTTGAGACAATTATAAAATACAGACTCGTGTAATCTTATTCGCGATAAATCACACCGTATCCACTGCGTATACACGTTCGCGACACCGGCGCGTCATTTAAAAAAACTATACAGATTTATTATTATAGGACGGCGGCGGCGGCGGCGGTAAAACAGCGTTTTACGGTCTCGGTAAATAAATTTCAAAAAAAAAAACCGCCACTCTCCGAGAACAGTCCGCCGTTTAGCCGAGCTTTTCGTTTTTATTTTTCTGCGAGCACGTATCGATATTATAATACCACGTGCGTATGTTACGTATAATATATATAGTTTTTATTCTAATTTAAAAAAAGAAAAAAAACCGACCCGTGCCTGTTTTTTTAGATTCTGAGTGGAGCAAGGAATGTATTGGTTTTACCATGATGTTCATTTTTTTTTTTTTTTTTTTTACATTTTTATATTGTGAAAAAAAATCTACCAGAAATCTCGCTCCGAAATATCAAGTATAGCGCATTTCCTAAAAGGGAAATTTTCCGGGGTGGTATTTCATAATAAATGGGGGAAAACGGGAAAATGTACAAAATGTATTATTTTTAAATCGTAAATATTACGGTCTTTCAAAACATGCATAACCGAATCCCACTCAGAATCGTTTTTTCGTTAGCAGTGATTATTCGTTACACGTGCACATTAAGCTTCCCCTTTATCTTCCCAACTTCTTATCTATAACTGTGGCCTATCGTGTAGCCGTCATACAAAGTATGTCCGTATTTATTTTTTTTCCTACACGGGTCATCTCGTATTTTACAAACCCTTGTCACTGTGTTTAAACTATGTCCTATTACGCGGATACGCGTATTCGAGTGCTTTGATAAACAAAAATAATAATATTCGAGTATACGAATACAGATAGATATTTTCGAATAGTATTTTTAAACACTACCACCAACTTCCGAAAACACCTATCGAGACTCTATCGATATCAACAAGTTTCATAATCAATAGTATTGTTTATGTACAGTTGGTATCTATGCAATTAAGTCTTTGGAGTTTCAATGTTTTGTTTTTGAGAAATAATGTAAATTCAGAAATTATCAAAAATAAATACTAATTGTGTCACATTTTGGCTTGAATTGTCCCGGTGACGGAAAACGTCCGGAAGAGCGAAGAAAAAAAATTGTTTAAGTTAAACGTTTGAAAAATTAAAAAAAAAAAATAACAATTATGAGAAATTCGGTATCATATAATACTTGATTTTTTTTGTAGAACGTAAGGGAGGGAATCCCCTCCCTTACGAATTCGTTATTCGCTCCCATAATATTATAGTCGCATATTATTATATTATGTAAAATATTAAATTCCGGTAAGAGTTTTCGTGATAATTCTCTTTACCAACTTGGAACGTAGTCGACGAGGAACGTCTGCCGGTAAACAACGTTTTCATTGATTTAAAACGTTGATTTTACTATATTTTTTTTTTTTTAATCAATTAATAAAAAAAAACTCGTATTTACCGCGATTTCAAAGCGGGTTTTTTGATTAGCAGACAATGCTGATTATTTGCGTGAAAATTATCGAATCCAACGAATAACTACGAAATATCAAAATCCTAATGAGAGCTATCCGGATCGAAAGGACAAAATATAACAGCCGACAAATGATAATATCATTAGATGAGCCGGCTATACAATTGCCGTGTTGACAACATTTTTTTTTTCTATGCGTGTTCGGAATCCGCCGGCAGGCGTCGGGCCCACTTGAAAAATACTTTAACGTCAATATCATTACGTACGCGTACACGAAAATTATTTTTGGATTATCGTCTCGAACTTTTTATTATTATAATTACGGTGTCCGGACCGCGAGAAAGACGCATTGTAATTATAATGTTATTACACTGCAGCGCGTTGAAGATGGATTTAGAGTGAAAATGCTTTTTATTTTTATTTTAGGAAAATCTGGATTACCGAAATACACACATGTTGAGCCTATAATGTTAACGCCTGCGGAGCATGCACTATAACTTTTTTTTTTTTTTTTTAATAGCCGACATTTTTTTACAACAACAGATTCGAAAAGTTCCGTTTATATTTTAAGCGACCACGACAAATACGATTTCCTTCCATCTGAAAAATTACTCGACTATATTAAAACGTATGGTTTTTTCTCGATTTATACGAACATTTTAAAACGCTCGTTTTTACTGCAGTGTATGTGCAACTTTATTTTAAAAATGCTGGCCTCGGGAAACAACAAAGCTTTTAAAACCGCGCGTTTTTAAGTTTACGGCGAATCGAGTTAAAACCAAAGGAAACGAAAATTACTCTATCGCCTCGATTTGGGGCGGTTTTTGAGATTGGAAAAATCCTATTCGTCAACGTGGCTCGGATAAAACAGTAGCGCTATTCGAACCGATTGAAAATATTTGAGTTTTTATTGAGTTAATGTGCGATATTAGGGCTTAAAATTTTGAAAACTGTATGAAAATGTTTGTTTCGATATCTCCGACATTCCTACAAAAAAAAAAAAAAATACGATTTCAATTGAAAGACGTATGAAATATTTCGCGTTATCGTTCGAGCGGAACACACCGCGCTAGCGTACCGACGGCCGAACGAAAAACAATAGCTTTTGGTGTACAAATCCGAAAAGTACGACGTTTTGGCCGTCCAGGTCCAGGCTTTTACGAGTGGCCGGTACCAGAACAGTATACCGAGTGCCGAACCGACGGTTTTCGGTCACCCAATTTCGAGGATACCCGTAAAAAATGTCGTAACTCGTCGGGAATTTCAGCGGCAAACGATTCGTTAATAATACAACGTTGTGATTAAGCGCGGGCATTTGAACAATTCGTGGTACCCGACCGGTCGGACACCGCGAGAGACGCAAAATCATTGCGTTTCGGCAATCGCTTTTCTTTTAATTCCGGTTTAGTTTTTCCGGACGTCAATGACGTTCAAGTCGTTCAATGACGTGTGTACGCGGATGCGGACAAGACGGAAGACTTCACGGGGAACGTGGGGCGTAACTTTTTGCGGCAATTTGAAGATTTCGGCGGGTCACAAATCACGGGGCTTTATCGGAGAGCGGAAAAAAATCCGCACAATAATAATATCGCATTATTCGCGCGCGCGCGCGCGCGTACCTTGACCGGATGATGGTACGCGTCCTCCGCCGCGGGGTCCCGCAGAGTCCCGAACGGCGGTTGTCGTGACGGCGGCGACGGGGGTCGTGCGTTGTAACGTTTGCCGTGGTGACGGTGATGATGATGATGTTGATGATGATGCCGATGATGGTGCCGGTAGCGGTGGACGTCGTCGGCGGCGGTGGCTGCGGCGGCGGCTGTCTCGACCGAGTCCAACGACATCTGCGGCGGCGGCGGCGGCGGTGGCGGCGGCGGCGGCGGCGGTCCGGGATGTGACCGGGTCGGCGGTGCGTCTGCCGTCGATGGTGCTACCGCCGCCGTCGCCGCCGCCGCCGCCGCCGCTCTTACGCCCGGTCGGTCGGTCGGTCGCGCGCCCTCGCCCGAGGTCAACAACCGGTTTAGTGTGCGCGTATGTTGCGCCGTCGCCCGCGTAAATTATCGTATTATTATTATTATTATTATTATCGCGAGTGATAAATAACGACGAGTGTCCGCGAGTGATATCGTTGCGGAATAACACTTATTGCTCGTCCGGGCAACGGCGCGCTCGATATGGATAGACGGTAGGTACGGATTGCCGGCAGTCGAGACTCGAAACGCGGACGCGGCTCGACACCCCGCACGACGCGACGACGCGATCGCGCGCCGTATACCTGTCGTTCGGCACGAGACTGAATGAAAACCGTGTGGCGATCGTGTGCGCGCGCGTCGCGCGTTCGGACTGGACTGCCGTCGCCACTCGGCGAACGTACAGTCCGGCCGTCGTCGCAACAGTCCTCCGGTAGAACAAGACAGAGAGAGAGAGAGAGAGTGAGAGCGATACCGAGACCGAGCGAGCGAGATGGGAACCGGTCGCGTGCAACACCGAACTTGCGAGGTGGTGGCAAAAAAAAAAAAAAAAAAAAAATGAAAAAAGAATAATGATAAAAAAAAACTAAAAATAAAAAGCTGCGACGCCGATATTTCGGTTAAAGCCGAGGCGTTCACCGAACACTGAATAAATTAGGTGTTGGCCAAATCTCAAACACGCTCGAACGTTCGGTAAATGTCAAACGTTTGTGTTCAGATTCCGATTATTTTTCCCATTAGTTTTCAGTGTTTAAATATTCAATTCTTGACCGAATCGATTTTTTTTTTTTTTTTGGAAAAACATTTAAGCAATATGTTGAAACGGTTTGAAATATCGTTTATTTAAGGTATGCGCATTTATTGAATAAAATATCCGAATACAAGAAGGCTGTGTGAAGTGATTGGATAAAGTAATGAGAAGCGTCAGGTGTTTTGTGTGTTTTCACTGCTATCACCATGTTCTCCATTACCTCCGCTCCAACCACTTCCACTGTCAACATCTTCATCGGAAGACCCGTTCATAATATGGGCCAAGCCATCTGAAGTCAACATTCCTTCTCTGCTCGTTGTTTTCCGTAATATTTTGGACCGTCCCGCCGGATCATCCATTTTACTATCGACAATTAAAAGAATACAATTATAAAACAATAATATCGTATAACAGACAAGAAACACACGATTGATAGTGCGCGCAGAAACAAACTGCGTAAGAAACAATAGTATTTAAAATAATTATATCGATGTAGAACGTTAGTTTGTACATAATATATCGACGATAGCGATAATAAAATATGATGTAATGTTCGACCGGAAAAAAAAAAACAAAACAAAAATAATTATTTATAAACGGATTGGACAGAAACACCCAGAATTTTCTGTACAGAGTGGTGTGTAAAAATGAAAACATTACTGTAGTGCGTCGCCATTTTACAGCACATTAAATCCAATAGACCCGATGTCGGCTTTGTCCGACAGCCGCACCGTGAAAAAAATGGTCCGTCGGCCACAGTCGACAAACGCAGCGGATGTGTTAAGAAAGAAAAGAAAAATCATTTTTTTTTTTTCTAGAAAATACTAAATATGCATAAAAATGTGCGAAAATCAATGAAAACCGACGAAACATGCATTTTTTTTTTTCTCTAAAATTAACTAAATATCCAAAATATGCATTTTAAATGTTCAATTTTTAAACTCCCCATCGTATAAAAAGCATTTCTAGATTGGTCTACTATGGATCTAGTGCATGCGGAAAAATATGCAACTCCAATACCTTCAGAGTCCTATTGATAAATCAAGCGATTTATAATTATTTTTTTGTTAAAAGTTTTCGAACGACGGAAATAGGGAAATTGCGATTCAAAGTAAAAACGTGTTCCGTCTACATTACATCGTTTCGAATTCATGGTACAAGACTGTAAAAAAACAACCCGCGTAAAAAAAAAAAAAAAATAAAACACGATAAAATAACACGGATTAAAAACCACTCGGGTGTAATAAAATATCCTGTAATATCTTATGTAGTACAATTCATAACTAACTGTATCTCCGTCGGTGTAAGATAATTTATAGACAAACACTCGTCCCTATATCATAATAACATAACGCGCGCGGTTCTTCGGAAGCAAAGGACCGCGTTATTCTGTATACTTATTACAGTAAATATTATTTTTGTCGTCGTATACACGATTTGGTTTTATTTATTTATTTTTTTTTTTTATATTCGTCTAAGGTTCTGGCTATCGGGCGATGAAAAGAAATATAAAACACATTAAGCATTGATAAGCTCGGCGAGACAAATTCGTACGGAGGTAGGAACTTTTTTTTTTTTTTTAATAATATACGATGGGGTTTTATTATTTTTCTTTTTCGGTAATCATCAATACGCTAGTATAAATAAATGTTCCGGACAATTTAAACACTCGGACATTTAATTTTATTCGATCGATAAGTTTAAACGGACGCACTTGAGATATTCCCTCATTTCCGATACTTACTTCTGTAGATTATTTAATTTACACCTATAAATTAAATAATCTTATGACAGTATTAACTTTACAACTTTCCACATAGAAACTTTTGTATGCGCCCATCCCCAGTATCAACTCTTTTCTTTTTACAATTAGTGGTAATTTTTGTAGGCCTTCCAAAAATATTGAAAAATTCAACTCTGGATCCGCCACTGAATATTGTATTATTATTGTTATACCTGTGGATCGCGGAATCAAAGAAACACGCTGAGCTATGCGTTTCCGTATGCTTAGCTTTTGAGCGAAACGGCAGACTTTTCACTCGACAACAGTGATACGACATATGTGAACTGAAAAACCACACAGTAGCGGTGGCGTGGTATAATAATAATATTATAGCTATAGACCGGATTTAATTGCATTTAAAACACACAAAAATTGCATATTAAAATCATACAATTGCACCAAAAAAATACGTAAAAATTGCATAATAAATTGCACTGTAAAAATGAAAAAGTTATGTAAAACAAATTAGATAAATATTACTTTTTTTTTTATTAAAATTCATAATTAGATACATTTCTAAATTATTTTCATTAAAATTAAATCTTGTATTACTTAAATTATGTTTGTACAAAGAAAAACTACGTTCTACGTCCACACTAGTTATTGGCGCACATTGAAAACAATTTTATAAAGTAGGAGTTATATCTAAATTAACATTTGCTTTACCTGACATGACTTCATAGTATCACTTTAAAGTTTTATACCCTTCGTTTTTTTTTTCAATTATATATATACAGTTCTTTAAAATTCTTTTTTCCATTTGGACCAGGAATATTTTTTAAAATATCTTTAATTTTTCTAAAAATATCCATGCTTTTCAGTAGTTCACTGTTAGATTCTTTCGAATTTTTAAGATTCATGGATAACTCGGATAAGTGTAATTTTGTGATGGCTAAAACACATTTGACTGCATTATTTTATACAAGCTGTTTCAGCTTTTCGACACTTGTAGCATCATATGTTAAACTGTCAATCGCGTTTTTAAACTTTTCAAAATTATTTGCATAAAAAAGTGTAGCATTTAACCATGTTCCCCATCTTGTAATAATAGGTTCGGATGGTAAAGGTATACCCGGCATTTCTTTTCTGTATTTTTTTATTCATGATGGTGCTTTTAGAAAATCTTTATTTCCTGAAATAAACGAAATAAATTAAATATTTATTTAAATTTTAAATTGGTACTTGATATATTACCAATTTTAATCAATTTATTTATGTTAGGTTACAATTCTCGAATTTTCTCTAGAACTCTATTAACTGCGTGCTCCATACATGTAATATGAATTAATATCCGGAAAGAGATTTTTAATGTTTTTGCTGCTTTGATCATATAAGTACCAGCATCATCAATAAAAAGTAATATTTTTAACGAGGAATTGATAAACTGACAAATAGTTTCATAACTGGCGGATTCTAGTTCTTTACACGCAACTAAATATGATTTTCTAAGCGTCCCATCTAATTTACAAATTAATAAATTTGCAATAGCCAACAATTTTAAACGAAAATAGTATATTTTATTTTATGAGAAATTAAAAAAATTATTTATGCAAACCTCTTGGATCGGTTGTTTCGTCAACAATTATGTAAACGTAATTATTTCCCATATCACTAATTATTTGGTCTATAACGCTTTTATAAATATTTGATACGAAATTTTTTCTCAAAGTGCTTTCGCATGGAATTGATTTGCCAGTGTGTTTTTCCAAAAATGATTTTAACACACGATTGCCTGCTCAGCTCATGCAAAGGAATATTTGCAGCAATAAATGCATAACATAAATCCTTAAAAAATAAATATTTACCATTCGAGTTTTGAGAAGTAATCAAAAGCTGTTTTTTTATTTATTCCTTTGTAATGCATTTATGTGTTGAACTAAAAAAAATTTACATGTATTTTTGAAATAATGTGTAGTATATTACGCGTAGTACGAGCATAAAATACAAAACTTACTTGTTTTGGAATGATGACCTAATGGATATTTGTTTTCAGTGGACACAGATTTGTTACATACGAGACAATATATAATTCTTTTTATCTGATGAAAATACTTCTTTATTTTCATTATAAGGAACAATCCCGTTCGGAATTTTACTTTTTAAAGTTGATTTTATTTTAGGCATTACGTCGAATACGTTCACTGTGCTGTCAAACTGATTAAGGAAATAGGTACTAAGGTACCGACAGGTAAACGCACACGAATCGCTGTACGACTATGTTGAATTTAATTACCACCATATATAGACGCTTATCGCTCGCTGGGCTCTCCAAGCTTCTAAAAAATTGTAGACGAACGATAAACGCCTATGATTTAAAAACGTGGGGAAATTGTAAAAGATTGCATTGTGGAATTAAATAGGCAGAATATTTTTAGTATACATCGGCTATATATATTTAATCAGATCTGATTTATCTTTATTGCGAAAAAATTTGCAACATAAATCAAATCTTTAATTTTAATTATAGGTCTTTAATTATAGTGCAGATACGGGAGCCGGCTCCTCGCGAAAGTTTCGTAACGATCATATAATAACAAAAATGAAGTTTATTTTATCCTGACTATATAAGTGGCCGAATATTTGTGGAATTTATCGCGCTATGCCGTTTTATTGTACAATATTATAGCTTTCGCCTCCACCGTAGTCGTCGTCATCGTTGTCGCAGGTACGCGTACAACCGAATTATTATCACCGAGAACTTCCGAGACGAAAAACTTTGGAGGATCATTCCGCAGTATATGTATAGCCATATAGGCGTACGCTTAGGATTATTATCGTTGACAAGTAGTGCCACATTCACGCAATCAATTGAAGTTTACCGGCGGATTTCAAGCCACGGAATATGAAAGACCTTAATTATAATCGATAACCATAAACCATGTTTAATTGATAATATCAACAAATACCAGAAATCACACCATCGGGTACAACCACCCTTCATAAATATTAGTAAATAATTATTATGTCAAATATGAGTAAATAATAGTTTTAAATGTTTGTAAATACACGTGTATTGTTTCCATGTTGCAAAGAGAGAGGGGATTTTAACCCCCTAAACTCCCGTGTATACGGCCCTGTACTAGATACGTGAGTATAAAAAAGGATTCGTATATTATTATTGCATATGGGATAAAATAAATAGGTTACCGTAGATACATCGTAAGTCCGATTATTTCTATTCGGTCGTAAACGGGAGAATTTCTTAAGTAAATGTCCATACGATATAACACGAGCTCAAGTTTAACAATAACAATAATAAAGTACATAAAGAAAAGTGATATTAAACGTACCATGCCGTGTAAGTGCGAAGTAAATAATGTGTTACTCTAAGATTGTCCATTCGATTGAAATGTACACCCGAACGCAATTCGCAGAGACGTATTTGGGACGAACCAAAGCATAGGTGCAACTTTGGGAGTGCTAAAATTGTATACGCATTATCAGACCCGTTAGTATAACGCACCGCAATCTCCTTTACACGACACTTATAATAAGTAACTAAACATTTCGTTCATAATTTTTTATGTAGAATGACTAATCTATCTTAAGTCACTCATTTTTCTCGGAAAGTGTTCA